GGTAAGCTTCAAGGATTTCAAAGGGCCTAAAAAACGTGCTTTGTTTTTGTAGGAATGCTGCTAATCGTGGGGTTTTCGTGTTATTTCGGATGCAAAGGTGGTTCGTCTAGAACAAGGTCCAGGAGGCACAGAACCCACTGTAATTTACAGTATTTTGGGCTGTTCAAGGGTAGAAAGTGCTCGTTTTCGGCGGAGGCCGAATTTTACATAATTCTGGCGCGGGAGGACATGGCTCACCTTTTTTCTTCTCACTTGCTGAGGTTCTTTGGGCGCAAGCCTGTGGCTTCGAACAGGTCCTTGGACTTGGACAAATGGGGCGATGATACAGTTAAATCAGAACCCCTCACCAGCTTGGACTGATGGGGCGTAGCTTGGACTAATGGGAACGATCCTTGGACTAAGAGGCACCATCCTAGGATTAATGTTGTTATGGTTTGGGCATGGATGCTCTGGTTTCCGTATGCTCTTGGAACACAGACGTTATCATGGTTTGGGCATGGATGCTCTGGTCACCGCATGCTCACAAATGTTATTATGGTTAGTGCATGGATGCTCCGGTCACTGCATGCTCTTGGAACACGAACGTGTAAAACGCGGCTAAACGTGGGACGGCAATCCACGTGCTAGCACAAACATGATGATTCGAAAATGGTACCTCCGTCATGCCCTAGGTAGCGAGAGACCCAGCTTTAAATCAGGCATTTTTTGTAGATAGTGACCTATACCATTATTATGGTAACACGGAATATGGCTGCCCGGCCGGACAAGCCTAAATCCATCTATCTTCTCATTATCCATTTCGTTTTCCGTTCTCTTTTTCATTGGGCTCCGCATTATCGATGCCATATCTCTCCACCGAATACAAACCGAGTAACACCCATATGATCCTTATACAATCCCCATGGACTGCTTTAAAAGGACCTCGCATCTCCCTTTGGTTTCTCGCCTGGCACGACCCATCTATATATCCCAGTCTTGAGGTGGCAAAGATACGGTCCAAGTTCGGCCTCAAGCTCGAGGCCTGCAAATCTAGGGTTGAGGTTTCTCAGCTTGCTGAAAATCTTGGGATGCGTTGGTGGTTTCTTTTGAGGAGGAAGAGGGGGGTTCTACATAGATGCTATGGGCATGTTCTAGAGATGTTTAAGGGATCTTGGAAAGTGAGTTTCTCAAATTCGCGGATCCTGTTTCATTCGTGTTTGGTCTGATGGGAAGTATTTTTGCCGAATATGGGGACCCATACCATGCGCGATACTTGCAACATAGCCACACAACAACAAGCACGATACATGGGATGCGCGCAAGATGGCGACTGGTAGCAGTAAGCAGGATGGGCATTCCCGTTGAACAGTTGTGGTGTTTTGCTGCAGGCTTTTCTTTTTTTTGAAATTGGACAGCCCTACACCTTAGGAAGGACTGGGGTTCCAAGTGCTGCAAGATTCCACATTTACTTTGCCAGCATGTTTGAAGATTGCAGCTTTCAATATATCAGTACAGTTTTGTTGCTACTACTGTGATTGTTCTTACTGATGATAGTATCACGGTTGTTCTTATTCACAAGAATTGTACAAACATGCGTGGCCCTCTTGTCTTGGTCAAGCTAGCTCCTGCTCTCGAACAAGAGGTATGAGTTTTTTCAGAAGTAGTAGGAGTGAGTGCAAACATGGTAGCAGACAGGCAAGTGGCTATAGTGCTGTGACTGCAATACTACGGCGGAACTAGTTTAAAATGAATCTTAAACATTGAGCCTTCTAGCCCGAACTGCTTCCAGTGTAAGCCACATAGGTAGTCTCCCAATTTGGGGTCCCATCTCTGTACTCGAATTACCAGAAGAAAAATTGGATTCTGAGAAAGACTCACGTGGCGCCAAGAGCTCTTCTTGTTCTCAGCTCGGAAGATCCTTTCATGCATTCTTCTCTATCGGAAATAGCATGGAACATCATGTCAAGCGAACTCGCACCTTGTGGAACATACAGAAGCTGCTTTCCAGGCTGGGAAGCGGGTTGAGCCGCAGGAGTTCGAGTCGGCACCTCAGGGCAGAGAGGAGGGAGACGTGTTAGAGGGTTAACGCTCTCTTGAGGGCTTGGAGTTTAGGGGCTATCTGGTCAGTCCTATAATTATGAGCCTTAGACGGGGCTTCATGTTTGGTGATGGTGAACTTCTCCTTGAAGCAGTGACAATGTGCGATGTTTGCTCTTGAGCAGGCGGTTCATGTACGATCTCTTCAAATGCGCAAAGCAGACGCAGGCTGCGGTGCTTTCCTGTCGTTGAGTTTGGTTGCTGGATTCATTTTGGAGGGGAATTGGCGAAGTAGGGCGGGGTGCAGGTCCTCCCTGGGATTGCAGCACAAAATCAATTAAAACAGCAAGAGAAGCCTAAGAAGTCAAGGGAGAATTCCTGATCCTGATGTCAAGTAGAGGATCGGGTAGAACGACGCATGTTTGCCAGGTGTGCTGCAGTCTTCAGTTTTGCAATCCTAATTTTTGAAGTTGCAGGGGCTTCGGGGCAAAGCTCAGACAACTCCAGCACCGGAAATCTCGGCCTGTCTCAAATCAGACGCTGCCTCATATGGATAAAAAGCCCTGAGAATTTCAGGTCAAGCTCTACCCTAAACCGGAAGGACATGGAAAGTGACATTGGCACTTGCATTGGCCTGTACATTTGCATTTGTGCATAGGATCAACTTGCCGGATGCAATTAGGGAACGAAGGAACCCATATTTATCTTATATATTTGGTACCATAGTGAGCCAGTGCTCCGTACCCTTCTGACAGTTAGTGAATCTAGTTCACACTGATGAAGAACACCTGCAAAATGCTTGTTGCCCAGAACGTTAGAATGACAATGGTAGCGGTGGCGCCGCTATGCTTGCTACTTCACGCTGTCGTTGTCTCTGAGAATGCTATCGAGTAAGGAACCCTCGGATAATTTATTCGGTTTATTAGGACCGCCCGAAGAAGACGTTTTTGATCTACCTATGTCCCTGTTGAGACCAGTTTCAGGCAAATTAAATTGATTGTTGCCAGGAGGGGGCTTCCTTATTGTTCATGCAGCCTCACAGGATAAATTAGATGCTTTGTGTGTGTCACCCCCATGAGGCTAAACTATTTCTTTTCTCAAGATTCCTTGATCAAGGAATACAGAATACAAGGTCATGTTAGGAGCCCTTATATTTTTTAGGAATATCCTTTAGCCTGAATCAAGGTGTATTATCCTAGGGCCTGCGCCTCATAGATCCCCCTGCTATGAACCCCCCTATATGGCTCCCTAATATCCCTTATTTACCAATCAAGCTTCATTCGAGGATGTTCGTTTGTCGGGCTGTACAGGCTTTATAGTAATACGACCCTACTCATGAAGAATCACATGGAAAACAACATAGAAAATGCAATTTGAGTTTGAGGGGGTGCAGGGTTTACTGGGCTGCCCCCTATATACCTTATGATAGGAACTTCAATGAAGGTTTTTAACAGCAACCCAGTGTAGGAGATCGCACTCAACAGGGGTTACTTGGTGCAGAGAGTCAGCCAGGCTGCGCAACAGAAAATCCAGGAGCTCATCCAGGCCCAAAGGGGGTGAAGTTCGGTAGCAGGGTTTAGGGTTTAGGGTTGAGAGTTTGAGGTTTAGGGTTGAGCATTGGACAGATTATTCATGAACGAACCGTTCAGTGAAAGGTGATGCATCCGTCAGCAGAAAGTGGCAACTGATGAGTCCTAGCATCAACTGTGAAATCTGACAACGCGGCCAAATGGGCTCCAGTCAGAAGTTAGGGTTATTTTGCGCGGTGTTTGTGGGGTCGATCCGGCATGGGTGGGCATTGATCAAGTTTCCCTCTGTTGATCCCTTCGCTGGAGTTTTATCGGTTTCCGCCAGCAAAAGGGTTTTCAGGAGAGAGACCTTGCATGTCACCATCGAAGCAAAAACGCGATTCCCACAGAGCCTTTGCACACGCTAAGCATCAGAGTGCTGCTGAGCGAAAACGTGACCGTTCATCTGCCAGCCGACATGCCTCCAGGTGCAGGAGAGCTGCGTGGCTTGCCTGGAGAGCTGATAGCCATGCGACTACTCCAAAGGATAGAGTGTGGTTGCTTTACCAGCTCGGCCTTGCTGCAAAAACCGGAACTGGAGCCTTTGGGGAATTTCTGTCCAGCCCTTTGCCAGCGCAGCTGGCGGCAAGTTTTCGGCAACGAGATATTTTCCCTTTGGCCCCGCTCGGTGGTAGCATGCTGAAGCCTGCTGACATGGCAGTTGGCAGATGGAAAGTGCTCCTTCACTTCATCAATGTGGTCATAGGTGCTCTCAACTGGCTCCACGGTGTAAAACAGACGGCGATGAGTGGAAGGCACACGCTTTCTCAGCAAACGGTTCTGGAAAACATCGTGGATCGCGCAGTGTGGGTTCTGACACGCTTGCAACATGCGCAAGCAGGCTGGGAGCGTTTCATGCCAGACTTTGTGCCGGGCTTCACCGCAAGAGCCTCTTCATTCCAAGATTTGGTTGCTGACAGAGTCGACAACTTGCAAGCTGCCGGTTTGTGCGATCCTTTGCTGCACGTGCCGGACCACGTGCGCACTAGCCTGGAAACACCGCAAGGCATCCTTGGCAAAGCTGACCTAGATTTGCGTTTCTTTGAGCATTTCACCAGAGGCCCAAGAGATGAGTATGCAAAACTGGTGGTGAGGCAGCTGCGGTGTGGCAAGCTGAGTTTAGCTACTTCTTGCAAAGGGGGTGGTACCACATTTGCTGTTGGTAAGCCTGGGGGTGAACGTTTGAGGGAAGTATGGCACGGCAAGCGTGTGTCTGAAGCAGCTTCGGCGCCTCCGAAGCCCAGACACTTGGCCTCTCCAACTGCGTTGACTTTTCTGGAGTGTAGCGATGGCAAGCCATTGCGCCTCAGCAAGCGGGATGCTACCTGCTGGTTCGATCAGTTGCAGCTTCCCTTTTCTCTCCGTGAGTACATGGCAAAGCCGCCGCTCTCGACAGCGGAACTGGTCGAGGCCGGAATGACAGTTGATGAGCAACAGCAGCACATGGAAAGTGGTCATGCTTGGCGAGATGGGATGCTTTTTCCTTTGCACTGCGTTTGGCCCATGGGATTTTCCTGGTCTTCTTATATAGCCCAAGAAGAGATGCTGAGTGTTTGCCAGGATTCTGGGATTCAAACTTCGTCTCTTTTGGCCTGTGACTGCGTGACGCCTTCATCGTTTGAGCTGGTTGCTGCTGTGGCCACTGACGATGTTATGTTCTTCAGCGACGCCGGCCCAGGCGCTACCTCTACTGCGGCTAGGGCTTTTGATGCAGCCATGGATGCACGACGTGCTGTCCGAAATCCGAAGAAGGACGAGGACGATGAGCTCTGCGGCACATGTGTTGGTGTTGATTTGGTGGACGGCTACTTCCTGGATGTGCCTGGGGGGCGTTACTTGGCGATGATCCTGACTTTTCTGCACATGCACAGGTGCAAGGTGGGCTCGCCTCGGCAAGTCCAGCAGCTTCTGGGAGTCTTACAATGGTTTGACCTCTTGGTCAGGCCAAAGCTCTCGGTCTACAGCGCCATCTATGATTTCACAATTAGTGACAGTCCCGATTCTGTACCGCTGCCTAAGAAAGTTTTGGGAGAGCTGGCATGCAGCCTTTGCTTGGGCATTTTCTGGCGCTGCGACTTACGAAGGCGCTTTTTGCCTATGCTTGGAGCTACAGATGCCAGTTCATCGTATGGATTGGGGGCAAGCGTTGTGCACGCCTCAGAGGAGATGGTCAGAACTGTTGCTCGCTGGGCTGAAAAGCAAGGGGCTTTTGTGGTTATGGACGGTGATGCTGCTAGGAGTTTGAGCGCGGACCGGATGCTGGAGGCACGCTACCTCAATTTGAAGCTTGAGCAGTTCTCCGACGTTTTCAGTGTTCGCTCCAAGTTTTCTGCTCACATCAACGTCCTGGAAGGTGAAGCGTTCGTGCTTTTCTTGAAGTGGCTTTTGCGGTCTACCAGGCATCACTCGACAAGAGTGGTTGTGCTGTTAGACTCTGCAGTCTTTCTTGGTGCTGCAGCAAAAGGGAGATCATCTTCACAATTGAACAGGCTTTTGCGGAAGGCTGCTTCTTTGACTATGGCAGGAAATCTTCAGTTGCATCTCGTTTTCGTCCCTTCGAGCGAGAATCCTGCAGACTACCCGTCACGTGGAAAGAGGAAGCGATCGCGAAAGTGAAGCAGCTCTGGGCTGCGTGATGTGTTTGGAAGCCCTGCCTCTCAGGCATGATGTGCACACTTCCGAATATGGACCCATGAATTCAATTTTTGTTGGCAGTTTTGACGGGTGTTTGTTATGCCGGCGCTCGGCATCCTACATCCGGGCACAATGCGGCAGATTCTGCGCATCCTGGCGCAGAGTTGGCTCCGACAGGCAGCTGGAAGATGCCTGGTGCTGATGGCAGGTGCCCGGGCAACTGTGAGTCTGCTCCGCTCACAAAGGCTTCACCGGCGTTCTGGTTGTTGTGACAGTCTGTTTTTCTGAAGACCCCACACACACAACTGGTGGAATTCTTATTGATTTTATCGGCTGTGATCTTGTTTTCACAGCCAGTGCCGGTGGTTGGGCTTTGTGACCATCATAATGCTGGACCTGAGCAAAGCTGGTTAAACCAGCTGTGAACAGATCTTTTGGCATGGTCAGTTTCTAACCTCTCGGCACTCACACCCTGTTCGCCAAAAGCTCATTTCCTGTGCTTGCTGCACGGTGCTGCTTAGCCTGAAATCCTGGGAGGCTGGGAGGAAAGGTGGAGTCCCATGAATGGACAGATTATTCATGAACGAACCGTTCAGTGAAAGGTGATGCATCCGTCAGCAGAAAGTGGCAACTGATGAGTCCTAGCATCAACTGTGAAATCTGACAATGCGGCCAAATGGGCTCCAGTCAGAAGTTAGGGTTATTTTGCGCGGCCCACCCGGCCCGCCCCGTTTGTTGTTGGGCTTTGTGACCATCATAATGCTGGACCTGAGCAAAGCTGGTTAAACCAGCTGTGAACAGATCTTTTGGCATGGTCAGTTTCTAGCTTAGCCTGAAATCCTGGGAGGCTGGGAGGAAAGGTGGAGTCCCATGAATTAGGGTTTAGGGTGTAGGGTTTAGGGTATAAAAGGGAAGGGAAAATAACATGGAAAGTACTGTGGTATTCAGGGTTTAGGTTGGCAGTATCTGGATATTTGGATTTAGGGTTGGTGGTTTGGGGTTTGGGGTTTAGGGTTTGGAGTCTGTTTGAGGTTTAATTAGGGCTAGTGGTGTGGGTTTTAGCCGTTGCGGTTTGGAGAGAAGGGTGAGGAACTAGATGATATGCTCCAACATCCATGATCACACCCAATGTTCTGCCATTCTAGGTTAGTTTCGTCCGGCTGTTCCATACAAGCAGCTATGCATGCGGCGAATATTCAGGTCTTTTTTGGGTAGCTGCTGCAAGATCCCTAAACCCTAAACCATAAACCGAGTTGGATGTAGGTAACGAGTCCTTAATCTTGGGTCCTCAAACCGTGCTTTCATCGGCCAACGGAAAACCACTGCGTGCTGCACTACTGCTTGGAGGGCCAGAGAGGTTCAGTACGATATAAGAATCCCAGGACAGGTTTTTCACATTTTTTGGATACCTTCAGCGTGCCTACTAACTTTTGGCTATTTGTAAAGCGTATCTACCTACAGCTTGAAAACAATTTGGGTACTTATAGAAGACACTGACTTAGAACCTTGCTTGTGGTACGTAGGTCTGAAGACTCTATGCGTACCTCCGTTGTTTTTGTTTTATTTTTACGCACAGATTTATGATGACGTTTCAAGGTGCCTCAACAATCTTGAAGTACCCAGGAACTTCCAGGTCAACCACAATAAGCCCTCAACCCTACAAGGAGAATCTGGTGGAGGGAAGCCTCAGTCTCGCAGAGATGTTTTGGGTCGTCCGGCTGCCTGGGCCTTAGATTTTTGAAAGGGCGTTCTAAGGGTTGATTTAAAGCTGTAGGGTTTCACAAGTTTTGGGCTATGGAAAAAGGGGCTTGACGTTGAGAGTTCTTTGTTTAGGGTGTATGATTTAAGGTTCTGGAACAGGGTTGAAGATTCACGACTTCAGTGCTGAGCAGCAGGATCAGCCAAAAGGTTGCTTGTCTCAAGGTTGTCCCCATGCGGTTTCTGGTTCCATGTGTGGAACTCTAGTCACGTGATGCACAATATGTTGGTATATAGGGAAGAGATAGGAGACTGGGTGACGACTTGTTACGTGTTACCTGTACAACCAGTCACCATTAATCGCCTCAAGCCCGAATGCGCGCCTGCGAACGTGCTGTTGTTTCTTGGGGAACCTGCGTGGACCAGGTAGGATGCTTCAATGTGACTATATGAGCTATAGTCTAAACTCCTTAAAAAGGGGTTATATTAAGGATAATATCAGAGATCATACAGGGTTTAGGGTTTTGGGTTTAGGGTCGGTTTTGGGTTTAGGGTCTTAACTCCTTAGTTGGGGGTTATATAGGGGGCTATGAAGGGGGATACTAGGAGTTTTGACTATAGACTATAGCTCATATATACTACACTTCCAATGACCAATGAGCGGAGCCGCATCTGAGGTATGATGATGCTCGATCTGAGGCGCTGCCGATTTCTGCTGCATGGATAAGAAACTGGAAGCTACTGTATAATGCAGGGTTCATATAGATGTTGTATAGGGGTTAAATAAGGATAATGGAAGAGAACATTGCAATTCCTATAATAGGGCAAAAATCATAGTGCATGTGTAGTTGGACGCAAGAAGAGACGCCCTCTGCAAATAGGTTTTGCTCAGTGTTGCCAAGCTGTTGGACCAAAGAAGTAGTACGTGGTTGCGACTGCCCTCAGGGCACAGAAAATGAAGCCAAAAGTCAGCGGTGTTTCATGCTTGTGTTTGCGTACTGTTCGAGCATGTTGGAAATGATATGACGTGGCCGGAAAATGTGAGGGCTTGTCAGAGGGCTGCCTTTCTAGAACCCCACTTATTGTTTTAAGGGTTCTGGAAATCTTGAGACCCTGCAACCATAAAGTCTCAGGATCACAGCCAGCTCATGCTGTTGCACCATTTTAAATGTCTATCACTGGCCTCCGCAACATGCTTTCAACATGTTGTGCCAGGCAAGTAGTGGCCAAGGCAGTCGACAAATCACATCTTTTTGATGCCATCGTTCAATGCTTGTCACAAAGAAGACAATTCGTAAGGGTGAGCCAATGTTTCCTCATGGTCTACAAGCCGCACAGCCATGCACAGTCCTTCCATCAATTGCAAGCGAGATCAAAGACTCACGTGCGCGATGTTAAGCTGTAATATACTATGATATATTGGGATGATGGAAAGTAAAATGGAAACTACTAGATTATAATAGGGTATATATTGGGGTTATAGCTCCATGGAATGACCAGACAGGGCAAGTTGCGAGGAGCCTCTCAAACAGTCTTCCGTGGCCGATTCCCTGCTGTCCTCAAAGCTCTGAAAAGAAAACGGAAACTAGTACTGGGGTATATATTGGGGTTATATGGGGGTTATATGGGGATAATGGAAAAGAAAATGGAAACAACTACTACGGTATATCTTGACGTGTCAGGAAGCCTGGGCAAAGGAGGACCACATCATCAAGGAGGCCAGTCGTTCCTCTGCCCATGGGAGTGGGGGGATGACCTTATCGTGAAGTAACAAGGAATGAGTATGCTTGCCAAGAAAGCATAGCACCTAGCTTTGGGTTGGTGTAGGCCATCAGAAATATCAACACCCTACAGGATTAGTCGAGGGACCGCGGTGGTAGCCATGACTGTACCCTCAGAAATTAGGTGAGCCGTGTCCTGTTGGTGCGTTTGGAACCAGCAATACTAAGAGGCAAAAACCTTCGAGAGAGGTCTGGCTGTTGGACATCAGCAGAAGTCGGTTCATGCAACAATGTGCAGGCGGGCTTCACATCTGCGCAGGCCGGGCGACTGGCTCTCTTGATGCAGCAAGTTCAGGAAACGGGTCATGGCCCCTGAAGCCCTGAAGCTACGTACAGGCCATTGCAAGAAGCCGCAGGTACAAAGACGCAGTTAACCGTACAATGCATTCTAGTGCATGCACAGTCCTAATATTATCGAGGCATCTACTTTTTCTTGACCAGTGCTGCCAGGTGGCACAGTTTCGGGAGCAGTTCGTGAAGGCCGGAGTATGATGTGGCTTCAGATCCTGTTCGGAGTTTATCTTGTTTCTCAATGTCTTGCCCGGTTTCAAGTTCCCGAGCGTCCTGCCAGAGACGTGAGTGGTGTAAGTGGTGGTACGGCTTTCCTAGAGCGGCACCCTATGAGGGCTTTTGGGGAACAGCTTCTCTGGCCGTTTGAGGTGCCTACTGCTGGTTAGTAGGGAATGTGGGAATAAAACCCCTACATAGTCACCATAAAACATCCCAATAGAATCTCCACACAGTGTATTCCCTCATTCCCTTTATGCTCCGGAGACACTGTATTCACTTATTTCCTACCAAAACCCGGTAAGATTGAAGAGTAGCCATCCTCAAGGTTTCAGCCGGGTGGCTGTCCTTGTTCCACAGGAGGCGTCTTCTGGGTCAACGTTCAGGATCCTTTATATTTTTTGGGTATGGGATTCCTTATACTCGTGTAAAAAACCGTCCCTTATTTCTTCATCGAGTAATGTAGGCTAAGCGTTGTTTGGGCTAAACATAGTCCCTCGTAAGTAGATCGACTACGGACTTCCGCAAGAGCATAAATAAGATCCCCACATACCCCATATTCTACTTGCTTAAGGGGACTATGCTGCCTTCTGTTCCCTAAACCCTGAAACCTTCTGATTCTGTTCCCTAAACCCTAAACCCCTTTGGGCTGCCAACTTCTATTTCCCTGAGAAAAACCGGCAGGCTAGGCCAAGGCCATGAGTTCACGGCAGCATGCACATTGAAAATGAGCGCCTTTCTTCATAATAGTAGAAGCTATGATAGTAGTTATAGTATGGATAGGATAAGCAGTGAGAGTAATAGTAAAAGTCCTCTTTTTGTTTAAGGAGTCCACGGCAGCCAGCTCAATAACCCGGAATGCTTCCAACAACGCTCAAATGCAGACCTCAGCTTGCACTGCTATTGCAGCCAGTACTGCTACGGTAGTTTTGGCCACGGTCTCATTATGGGCTTGGTCTCCTAAACCGTAGGGTTGTTCATACTTGTGCTGTGATT